TGAACAGAATTTTAAGCACAACTAAAAGAATGGGAGGAAGAGTAACTGGATCTTTATTTACAACCCCTGATGAAAATGCCTCACAAATAAGTGACTGACAGCAATTTCCACAGCACAGCTGTCTGAAGGTTCACACTCAGACCTCCTTCTGACTCAGAAGAAAGATGATCACTTAATTACCCCTCTCCTGGATTTTTCAACACCAGCATCTTTCTTAGGAGTTGATCCAAGTGCTAGTCAAAGCAGTCTGTACAGCTTGAAAACAACAGCTCAAATACTAGGATTCTATTAGATTATTTTGATTTTTACATAGTCAGGAATCTAAACAAACATCGTGGCTTTTCCACAGTTCCTGTGTTCAGATGCTTTGCTTTGTCACAAGGTAATTTCCTCCTCCCACAGGCAGATCTGTTCTAAAGGACTGGATATCCACAAGATTTGCTATTTTTGCTGCAGCTTGTGTCTATCCTGGTGCCCAACATTCCACCATGACATCTCATTTCTTTCCTCATCTGCTAATGATCTCAAGTATCTCCCAAACCCCAGAGTTCCAGCATGTGTCTCACATCACAACAGATCCAAAGCTGGGACCTTCCACAACTCACGAGAAAGGAACAAGATCATTCACAAGTTCCTGACAGTAGCAGTTTTCAAAYCCTGCAATCAACTGACAGTCACAATGACCAACAGCCCCAAAGTCACCCCAGTGAGCAACCACACAACTGAGCAAGGATGAAAACACAAAACCTTAGCACAAAAGAAGGTACAATGACAACAGCTCTGTGCAGTCAAATTTACAGAATCCTGACCCTCTAATTCACCACTAAAGACACCAATTACTCTTTGAGATTATCTGAGAGAGCTCGGTAGTTGAGCTAAATAGTGTTATTCAGCTGCTACATCATTTCACATTTTTATACTCAGCGACCATACACACAGAGTCCTTTTCCTCTCCCATCCATTCTGTTTCTGGCACAAAACAGAAACAAATTATTACAGGCCATGTGAATGCCACCACTTGTTTCAAACTGTTCTCTGCAAGGCCTTCAATGTCCACAGGCTCATAAAAAGTTCTACAGCAGCCACAACAAAATAAGCTACAGTCAGGGACCTTCAAATCTTTATATGTGGCTCCCCATCCTTATCCAGAGGCTGGAAAACCTAAGCTCTACAAATAAATAAAGGTTGAAATCACTCTAAAGCATCTTTACAGCAGCARTTTCCAATAGCAACTGTAAAACAACGATTTTAGCAGAGCTGGAAGATTTTTTATGGCCTGAGATATTTATTGGCTCTGAAAGCAATTCCGAGGGAAGCCACAGGGTGGGTGAAACGTGGCCTCTCTAATCGCCATCCCCCAAAAGAGATCCAGCTATAATTAGAATAATGATTATGGCTGATACCAGATTAGGAGCCTGCTACTATTCTGGCTTCAGCACTGAAGCTCAACCAGCTTTCACAATAATGGCAAACAGTCCTATTGTTTCCTAACTACAGAAAGTCACAAACTGCTGCATGGAACAGGAAGTGACAGCAAAACACTCGCRCTTGAAAGGGGAACTGGAAAGTGCCAGGTTATAGGATCATATGATTAGAAACACTATTCTGAGAAYCATCAGCTCACATTCAGAGCAAAGCAACTTCTAGAAAAACAGCTCATTTATAACCAGAGTTGAGAAAACCTGGTCTGTCCCAAGTTTGCAGTAACTTTTTTTTGCAAAGCTGACTGGCAGAAGTTACTCTGTGCTAACTCCACTGAGTCCCTTTAACAGCAYTTCTAAAAGCAAGCATTTCCCAGAAAGTAAAGAACCACATCTTTCAACTTTAGAGAAAAGGATTGAAGCTCAGTTTCCGATTTTCCACAAAATGATTCTCCTAAATAAAAAAAAAAAAAAACCTCATTATATTAGAGCTCTCCACTCCAATTCTATACACACATCAAAGCTGAAAAAATCACATGGTAATTTTTATGAGATCTGCAATRAAATGTTATTAACATTCTGAAAGGCAACACTGTCAACTGAAGTACCTAATATATAATTCATAATCTCCTTTGGTATTTAAGAGAAAGAGGACAGATGTTATCAGCACACATCCAGCCAAAACACGTTTGCATTGTGCTCTGGCCTCCCAAGAATGTGGCCCTGGGAGACACATTTTATTCTCAGAAATATATATATATATATATATATATATATATACACATACACACATCTCCCCAGCAGTTTTCCACATTCCTGTGCAGGGAGAAGGTGCCCAAGAGGGCCCCAAACTGCACACCAAGGTAAGTGGCATGCTGTAGTATATTTAACAAGAGATAAGCCAGAAAAAGGGGAAAAAATCAGTCCTCAGCAGAGCTCCACTGATTATTATGGACCAGAAAGAAGTATTTCTTTTGCTTCACCCTACATAAATCACAGTGAATTATCTGCAAACCCAGCCAAAATCTGCTTTCCTTGAAATCCTGGGGGAAAAACCTTTAYAGAATCCAGCTACAACAGCTACACTTCCATTGGCAATGGCTCTTCTTTTGCTCTGTTCCTGCCATTATTTATCTCTCATATTTAACTTTCATAAAGCGTTCTGGGGATAAGCAGTCAGTTTTGAAAAACACCTTACAAGATAAAGTCATATTAAAGCTATTTCACTTGATGGGCTCAGGCTGGCTTAAACASAACTAATGCACTGGGGACACACAATGCTGGGCTATAATGATGTTTTACATTTATATACTGCCTTTCACCCACAACTCCAGAATTTAGAATACATGAAATGTCAAAGAATGACAAATGTAAACTGCACAACAGAGAACATGAGGTAYGTTTGGCAAAGATACTGTGGTAGAKMCTCYCTCTTACAAAGAATTCATGGCATTTCTGATACCTGCTCTAACCAGAACTCATTGAGTCAGTAAAAACAGATATGCAACTGGATTTTCAGTTKAGTTAGAAAAGCCGCTCAGTACCTGTCCATACTGAAATTCTCAATTTGTAAAGCAGAAATTACATTTCAACATCCACAGTCAGCATACCAGCTTAGCATGGGACTGTAAGAAAAGGACATGCAACAGAGCATTCCTACTGAACTCTAAGATGCCTCTCAAATGTTTTCCTAAAGCCATTCGGTTCTGCAGTGATGATCCAATGAATGAGATCACTGTAGAGGATCCGGATAAGGTCATTTGACAGGACATGTCCTTACGAGAACAGCCCAGGTGATGTTTACCACGCTGAGAGCAGCTTCCACCCATCATGTGATRCAGCATTAGCCTGCACAAAAATATCACTCAAGGGCAGTGCAGTGCTCAAATACCYAAAGCATAAAAACTTTGTTCTGTAGCCTTTGCTTATCATGGATGGCAGAAGGCTCTGACACTGCCTTAGAAGGCCCGTGCCATCCTTGTCAAAGCTAAAATGTGGAGCCTGTACTTCATCTGATGAGCTCTGAGGCCAAATTAACAGGGTACAAACTCAAAAGGGAGGATAATTAAGAATCCACTTAATGGCCTTTAAATATTCAACCCAAGTCCTCAAGATGGTGATGGCTCAGCCAACTCAGATGCCACAGCTAAGGCAGGGTAACCAGGAAACCAAAGATCATAATGGATCTGACACCCCTACAGGTACCAAAATTATATCAAAGAGGGCACAACTTCATCACTTGCATTACACAGGAGCAGAGCTGGMCGATGCGATTCCCTCCAAGGCTGAACACCTCCAGGGAGATCGGTAATGGGCGCACTGTCCACCCCACCACGGCGAGCCCCTCTGCCACCCCTGGGCACCCACGAGCTGCCCWGCCATACTTGACCTGGTCTGCCCCGAACGGGGTGATGTTGGCCTTGACCGAGCCGACGCCCAGCCCCACGAGGACCAGTCCCACGAAGGTGGCGGTGGCACAGTAGCGGGTGGCTCCCGCCTGGGAGCAGGGCGCCAGGGTGGCGTTGGCCGCCGGCGAGGAGCAGTTCTCCACGGGGAACAGGGGGATGTCCCCGCACAGGCCCTGGCGGGTGTGCGGCGCGGCGATGACGGGGAAGGCCAGCATGCCCAGCAGGTAGAGCGCCATGCTGAGCAGGATGGTGCCGAACTTGCCCAGCAGGGCGTCAGCCAGCCAGCCCCCGAACGGCGACACCAGGTAGGTGATGCCCATGAAGAGCAGCAGCGCCTGGCTGGCCTGGGCCCCCTCCCAGCCATAGGGCGGCCCGTTGAGGAACAGCACCAGGTTGGAGGTGATGCCGTAGAAGGCCACCCGCTCCAGCAGCTCGGCCAGCAGCACGGCGGCGCAGGCCAGCCGCCGGCCCTGGAAGGCGCTGTTGGCCGCCCGGGCGCGCTCGCCGCTGCTCAGCAAAGGGCTGCGCTCGCTGGGCTCGGGCTCGTCCATGGCCCCGCGTCCCCCCGGCCCTCACGGCCCCGCCGCGCTCCCGGCCCGCCCTGAGGGACCCGCGCCCACCGCCTGCCGCGGCCCCGCCCCCGCCGTAACAGCGCCGCGCTATTGGCTGAGGGTGCTGTCATTTAACCGCCGCCCGGCCCCGCCCCCGACAGCGGCGCGGCGCTATTGGCCGAGAGCGCAGACACTCCGCCCACCGCGCCG